ATATGCCTCGTAATACCTTCGTCAACATCACCAGTGTTCCCATGTTATTAATTTTTTTTCGACTCGCGATACAGATTTTTCTTCATTGGCAAACCAAAGTTCAGTTCAAATGTTTTAAATCAGTTTGATCCCGCACCATGGACAGATCGCCATGGCTGGTAAGGATTACTAATTCGTATGTTTACGTCTCTTGTCAAATAGACTTTTAATAGTACTCTCTTGTCGCACTAGCCCGTCTCAAACCGATGTTTACGATACACCATTGCCAGATCCGACTTGGGAATGGGTAACGCGGAGACTATTTCATTGGGAAACGAACTTACTGCATAACTTATTGAGTGGTTTTGTATTAAGGTCCATAGAATGTGGTTAATAGACATGTCTGGTGATGTTGACGAAGGTATTACGAGGCATATTGTTGGGCCACAATTCTGTTAACATAGCAAACAAATTAAAGATCAGTTTATTGACTACGCATAGGTGGCTGGGAGTATTCATTTAATTTCCATGGATATAGCTGGCACGGTATGTTTTATTACTAGTTAAAATTGTAAGTTGTTTTTTTTTCGTCGCGTATAAATTTATTCACTTGTGCGAGAATTAGGCATTTGTAAACCATTTCGTTCTTTTGTCCGTCGAAGACGATGGATACGATTGCGGAAGAAGGTAATTGATAACAAACATATTTTGTGTCTGTTTGCAGGTAATCAGACTTATGAGTTTGAGTTGTTCGTAGGGTATTATTCTAAAGCCACTAGAATCGAACTCTAGACATTTACAATTTCACGAGCAGAAAGTGGGATTAAACATGTCGGGGTTATAGATAAATGAGACTATTTTTCTCAGTTACGAATTTGTCTGTTATTCAGCTAGAGATCTACAATATTGATTATATCATACTCTTATAATTTATCGTGTCGGTATTACAATTGCCATTTTGCAACAAGGTGAATATTACTACTGTTGTCTTCCCTGTGTTGTTATGGAGTCTGGATAAGCTAAATTCATTGTTCTACCATTACCGAAAAAGACTTATCATCATTGGACACCAACAATTTGCACCGTTGTATCTTACATCACATTCTATCTAATATAATTTGTGTCAGAAAATGCGCGGAGAGTTGGTGGTAGACATTCAACCATGTGGCTTCCTCAATAGTAATTAATAGATTTTGCCTCACTATACTTCTGTCGCATTTGTTAAAGAATTGTGTAAATACCGTACTTTCTTAAAACAATTTTGTTTATTCAATTATAATTCCGCACCATATTATTCATTAAGTAAAAGGAACCTTATCCGTTACATTCAAATGATGTGACGACGCGTAAATATAAATTTGCATTCATTATATTCTATGATGTTAATAAGAATATTTTAACAAGTGCAAGATGCAGTTAAAAATTATGGTGGTTGCTTTTTAGAAAGTTTTCTTTTCACAATTGCACTTGACTATAATCTTCATAATCTAGCCACATTTTATTAGAAACTCAAATATTCTTGTACACGTTTCTCTACGTATCTGCATGTTAATATTAAAGTGCTAAAACAATACAACATTATAATTGCTGCAATTTTTTTAATGGCATGAGGTTCACTAATGGTGATCATCGCGTCGAAAAATCAATGAATGGGGTTGTGGGTGGGATCCAGGAAATTTATCGAATCTCTTCGATGTTTGTTCCCAGAGCGCTGAAACGACCGAATTCAGGTCCTGCTAGTGCGGCAAAACGAGCAAACACAGCGGCGGGTCGACTTAACAATACGATATTTGATGGCCCAAAGACAGGAAAAGATGAATGTATTGAAAATAATAATAATAATGTAGCGACAACCAAAGCTGAGACGAGCGAAGGTGAAAGTGAAAAAAGTGGTTTGATCACTGAACATACCGAAGGCAACAGTATAAACGCTAGTTACTCACCAGCAGAGAAAGACGATCTCACAGATAAAAAAGATATATCCGTAGACGCAACAGTGCACCAGCACCAAAGATCACTAGCAATCGGAGCTTCACTACAGACGGTTCCAACTTATCCATCTTCTCAACCGTCCGTACCTCAGCCCTTATTAATACCATCAGATTTATTCCATCCGCAACTAATTCAGTACACCCCACACGCTGAAATCGCCTCTCTTTCTCCCACACAATTAACGGCTATTCTCACAAAGTACGGGATAACTGCAAATGGCAGAAACATTCCTCGACCAATATTATCCTTCACTCATTGTGAATTCCCACCAAAGTTGCACGATAATTTACAGCGTGCGGGATATGATCAACCAACACCAGTTCAAATGCAGGCTATTCCTGCTGGTCTGGCTGGACGGGACATTCTCGCGAGTTCTAGCACATCGTCGGGCAAGACTGCAAGTTTTTTGATTCCGTTGATCGTACATACCTGGGCCTTGTCACAGTTTTATAATGGAAAGGGTGGCCCATACGCGCTAATCATGGCGCCAACAAGGGAGTTGTGTTCGCAGATAGAAACTCAGACAAAGCAAATGATTTCTGGTCTTGCTTTGATGAGGACTGCATTGTTGGTAGGTGGGTTGCCCTTACCTAACCAGGCATATCGGTTGAAGCAGGGCGCACAAATCGCTGTTGCCACGCCTGGAAGGTTGTTGGAGATTATTAGGCAATGCGAAGAGATAGATATGAGCAACATTCATATGATTGTGTTGGATGAGGTGGATATGATGTTGAAAATGGGATTCGAAGAACAAGTGATGGAGATTATAGAGAGTTTGTCGGTACCTGAGAATTCGACAAGAAGACAGATATTTATGTTTTCTGCTACTATGCCAAAGAATATCCAATCACTCGCTAATAAGATTCTTAGGGATCCTATTACCATTTCCGCCGGACACTTTTTAGAGACACAGATAGACCGTGACATCGCTGACAAGTCAAACAATTTATCCGCAAAAGTCATAACAATACCAGAAATTCCTGTAAAACAAACAATACTTTGGGTAGAGAACAGTTCCAAAAAGAAACAACTTTTCTCTCTTTTTAATGATTCCAAGTACTGGCGGCCCCCTATAATTGTCTATGTTGAATCAAAATTAGGTGCAGATCTCTTGGCTGGGGCAATAGAAAAGAAATGTGGTGCGAGCGTTGCCAGTATTCATAGTGACAAAGACCAGGAGGAGCGTTCGCGTATACTTGATGCATTTGTTAATGGCGAGTATGAGGTGCTTGTTGCAACTGGAGTACTGAGCAGAGGATTGAATTTAGATGTGCGCATGATTGTTTTGTTCGATATGGCAGTATCTGTTGAAGAGTACGTCCACCAAGTGGGCCGAGCTGCAAAGTATGGAAATCAAGGGTGGGCCGTTACATTTATCAATGAGGATAGTAAACATTTATTTAATCAGTTTGTTTCCATATTGAAGAAACAGCCATTTGGGAGAGTTACCCCTCTACCGTCTAAATTATTAAATCACGGATACACGTTGTATGGGAAGGGACGGTAAGAAGATCATACGAAGGTAGCAAGGATTAATAATGGACAAATATTGCTAGTGTTAAATAGTCGTGCTAGTGATACTTATCGTGTAAAACACTGCTGTCTTTTTATGATGCTATTGTTGTTATTGTTGTTATTATTGTCGTTGTCGTTATCGTCGTTGTCGTTGTCGTCGTAGTTGTTGTCGTCGCCGTCGTCGCTATTGTTTTTATATTGCTGTGATCTACATGTAAATAGATACTTGCGATTCATTGAACTGTCTCTGCGATAGCTTCGGCCAATTCTGCTTCAGTCTCTCGGAGTTCAGCCTGTGATCGAACGAGGTTGCGTAAATTATAGAGACTGCGAACATTAAGATTCGAAATTCAATACGATAATAAACTTGACATACAAGTGTTTCTCTTGCATGGTCCAATTTAAGCTGTGCCATTTGCAAGTCCTAAAATTAACAATGAAAGTTTAGTTCACATTTCCATTCTTGGCAATCATATTTTTGTTGATATACTTACTGGTGGCATTTCTTGGTATATTTGCAACTTTTGTTGTTTTGTCTCCAATAGCTCTCCTAAAGCTTCAACATTCTTTTCCATTTGCTTCAAATTTTCTACTCGTAGCCCACCTTCTTCAACACCAATCAACTCGTATTGTTTCTTGATAGGGCATTATAACGTCATATATAAATTGTATCGTGTGAACAATATCGATCCGCCAAACTTCGTACCTCAAGATGCAGTAGCCGATTACCATATTCACAGGATTTCCGAGTTAAAAGACTAGAATTCTTTTTCCATTCTTTGAGCTTTTGTTCTTCAACGAAGTCCCATTTACTTCTTAGACTTGATGTTAACCTATTCGTTGAAATGTAGGAGCACGAATCCATCATACGCTCATTATTTGGCTACGTATATAAGACAAACAATAAAAACGAACATGTTCAGTCTTTCTAGCCGTAAACTGGCCTCTTGGATCTGATTCTCAAATTCTTCGATCGTATGTTTTGTCATGTTTCGGCTTCGTTGTGTTCGTTCAGATTCGATATTTAGTTGTGCCAGGGCTCGAAAGTAACTGGAAACAACAAATCATCCAATAGGGGGAATTAGAAGTCCAAAAAGACAAAATATCAAACATTCTCCAAATCATAAAGAACCAAAAAGCAACCAAGACAAGTTCCAATCTTTATACGCAAGTAAATCTAGTATTTACCTGCTTTGTTCAACATCACCCAAACCAAGTGTAATTGCCAGTGAAGACAATGTTCGTATGGCACATTCGCCATTTTTTGATAAATCATTTTTAGATATACCAATCACTCGTAATATTTCTTGCAAACGTTTATCTATGTCAATATAGAAAACAATTTTAGCCGTGTTCTGAAACCAAAAAAAAAAAAAGGAAAAAGGAAAAGAAATTACTCGATGATACCTTCTTCAACATATTCAATGCGATGCATTATTCGGTTCTCCTTTACTAACTTGGCCGCTGCATCTTGTTCTTTATTAAAGAGCGCTATCTCATACAGCGCAGCGGCGGTGTCTGGGTTTCTCTCAAACAGTGGCAGTGGAGTATCTTTGTAAAGATTATCCAACCATTGGTCGATCTATCATAATAAAATAATAAGAACCGATGCTTACGTCCAAGCTATAATTGCACTAGTTTACATACAATTTGCCACTTTTCGTGTTCTGGAATATTGGCCTGATTCTCGTAAACAGTATTATGTAGATAATTTGCATCGTCCAAATATGTATCGTCAATATGCACTATTGACTCATAGTCATTTAAGGCACTACGGTCAGTGGGCTTAAAGAATAAGCTAGGGAGAGATTCACGTGTGACTGGAGATTGTCTGTACATAATTTAACAAGTATTACGAGTCAAAAGTGTAATTAACAGAGTATATCAATATAGTCGTTCAGAGAAATAATTTCCGTAGTTCGCATTTCTTGTGACTATTTACGCGTTTCATTATCACGTGTTCAATGCCGGACGACAATTATCTGTGATTTGCTCACTCTACTACCGCGAGTTTTAATGTTTAACGTTTAATAGTAATAGTTTTTAGGCACCTTTAGATTGTCTTCGTTGCTAGCTTATAGTTGGCATTAGTATTGATTTCTTCCCACAATCCAAGTATTACATCAAGATGAGTCTTCCAAAAAGACCACAAAAGCTTGCATTATTCCAACGCACACACGATGGTTTCGTCTTTTCTAGTACACGAAAACGTAGTCGATTCGACGCAACTCCATTAAAGTTGACAGGAGATGTCAAGGAGTTGGCTATAGTTTCGCAACCGGGTTTGTTTGAAGTGCCCAAGTTGAGAACTCTTTGTTCTGATTCTGAAAATGACACATATAGGCAGAATAAAGCTGACTATTTAATTGGAGGTATGAGATCCGAATGTAGACGTTGCAGAAATGGTGTGGGTATACCGTGTGGGGGTGTACAGACGATTGAGAAGCAAATGTAAGACTGATTTTTATTTCAACATTATATATAGTGCAACAACTTGATTACGGGCCATATTCTTCATTTGCACCTACTTTTGATTCAGAATATGCGACTGTCACATTTGAAGAGTCAATGATATTACGCTCAAGTCATAAGCGAAAGAGAATAAAGACGCTTAATGGCCATCAGAACGAAATCAATCAGGATATAGTATCGGACAACAATAGTCTAACAAGCGACTCAAGTCCTTTGACTAGTCCTTTGACGAGTACTCCGACGCCGCCTGTAGTTTATGAAGATAGTCTTGATGAAGCGAACACCGGTAACTTAAAGAACACTAATTCAGAATTAGAGGAGATACTCAACGGCGGAGACAACGAGACTCTGCAGGATGGGGGGACGGATTTGGAAGCGAGTGATAATAACGAGACGATACCTAACGGGGCTCACGCTACTGGTACGGAAGATGCAGAGCAGGAAAAGGTAATATAATATTCCGAATATTGCAGATTATTTTTAAAACCAACAAACTAATTGAATATCTTTACATTTAGATGGATCAGCATGAAATGGAAAAGATATTGGAAGAGAATACTGAACTGCTAAAAAGCTTGCAGCGGATGCAAGATGAGAGGTTTTCTACAAAGAATCCTGACAGGATATCAGAGGAAGAAAGAGAGCTGGGTGGGTATACTTGACAGAATGCCTTCCTACTGTCAATTGGCTTAACTCGACCATTTGTGAATGGTTTATTCTAACGATGATTATGCATAATTACACTCGCAGCACTCCAAATTCGTGATCGTCTGTCAAAGCTAATTTCTCAAGTACCTCCTTCAGCTCTGGTGTCATTTGAGGACATTGAGAAAGCAGCTCAGCGGATTCCTTTACATGACGTTACATTTACTGGTACACTTCCAGCCCATAAACTGTATGCTTATGGGACAAACAATTCATCTAGTGCAAGTATATCTCCCATGGCGTGTGCAGTACCTGATAGGTACGCAAAGGCGTCTGCGTATTATACAAACGGAATGGTATATGCACCACCTGGATATTCTGTACAAATGGCGAACCATTATCCATCTTATTAGTGTTGAGTAATATGGGGGATTGAGGAACGGGTATGCGTTGAGGAATACTAGTGTGAATGAAACAATATTTTATTGATCTTTAATGAGTAAGAACTGATCCAGCTGTAAAGAGTTTTCGTGCCTAGTAAATTTCAAATTAGACTCATTTTGAATAGACATTTGAAGCTAATACGCTGTGCGAGAGAGTATCGCTTCCTGTCGAACTATGTGACGAGCCATAGACAGAGTCTTTAATAAACCATTTGTGTATGTCGTCATCAACAAAATAAGGGGCGTAGCAGAAGTATGCAATGTCACGAGCTAATAGCTAATATAGATACTAATCAAGAACAAGACTTTCGTAATATCCAATTAATATCCAATCCCACATGACAGATAACATACAAAGTAAACTATTCAACTCTATGTCATAATTTTGGTTAAGTCAGTTTGTAGAAAAGCTCTTTTAATCACAATGCACTACAGAACCACTTACAGATACCGATAAACCACTTGCAAGCACCGCAGAGGGTGCACTTTCTGAGCCAATAAAGCCGACAACGATAGCCCTAAAATGTAAGCGATGCCGGTAAGACAGTATTACAATAAATTTGTAAAGTTTTTCCGAATTGTACTGTCACAAACAATTGAAATAAATTATGTTATAGCTGTACAGTTGTCACAAGTGACTACTTCGTTGAGCATGAACAAGGTGCTGGACAGCCAGCTTTCGCGTACAGGAAGCGCGATGCAAATGCAGCAAGAAGCTCAAATAACGTCTGTAAAGCTTATTTTATCGAGCCAATGGAATGGATAACGGCCAGGAGACAAGAGGAACTAGATGGAAAAATAATATGTCCCAAATGTGAAGCGAAATTAGGAAACTACAATTGGGCTGGTGAGTGTTGGAAAAAACAAATAATGGAAATAGAGAGGTAGGTAAAAAAAACAATAAATCGAATGTTGAACTTCTTGTCCTATTACTTTTTCAGGAATGCAATGCTCTTGCGGGAAATGGATAACTCCTTCGTTTTCAATACATAAGGATCGAGTAGACGAAGTTATTAACACGCAGTAAGATGGGTTTTTTGATTTAGTGCAGAAATTAATTTAAATCCAGCCAATAACTCTGGACGGGGGGTGACAGTAGCTTAACTCTTGCCTAATTACAGTATTAGTATATTTTATTATATATATGTCAGACAAGCATAAAATCCTGTATCGCTTTTAGCCTATTACTGGTAGTCCCCCGTATCGGAAATATACGGTTTACTATTCGAGCAATGTTACTTGTAAGTTTTTGTTCGATTGCGTGATTATGTGTTTACATTCTCTGATAAGCGTGAAAAATCCGCTTTGTCCAACTTTCTAATCTTTCGCCAAAAACGAGCGTAGAATGCTAGTCTCCGATAAAGGCTAGAATTTGTTTGTGCATGCCGTACTACCACATTAATTTCTCACCTATCTCTACAACAACCTAACACCCAATATTCAACTACCAACAACACTTTGGCCTTTCCGTCAGGGCGTGTGTGAAAGTGGAGAACAATAAATTCGAAAAAAAGAAAGAAAAAAAAACAATTAATATTATTTCATATTCTCCTTATCCCCTACTTACAATTCCCCCCCCCATTTCCCTTTCCCTGTCTGAATGATATTATCCAAGTCACCCGCCCCCAGAATACGGTAATTTTAAACCGAACAAAACCTATCCAATAGAGGTACTGACCTTTCCAGCTTTGGAAGAAACAATTATTCGAGGATACCTCTGTAATGAAGGCTTTCGGATTGGCCTCTTCATCTAAGAAAAAAGATAAAGAAAACGCAAATAATAAGAAAGCTGACAAGAAAGCGGTTCATCAGGGTCAAACAAGCGGGCATAGCCTGACTGTTGCTGCACCCAGCAAGGCTAGTACTGCATTCGAGCTTCTCCTAAAAGCTCCTCGCTTCTTTCCGACTGCTATCAGCAATAACATAAAAGTTAGCACTCAAAAACTCAAACGAGCGGCTAAAGGCAATAAACATGGCAAAGACAATCTACCACCATTTCCCTCAGCAAGCTTCTATTCACCCGAGTCAAGCCAAGCACAGCCCCCTCTTCGGGACGAGAGTCAATCTGCATCCTCAAGTAAAGAGAAAGGAACTATTTCTCAGCGTCGACCGTCTGAAACGCCTCGAGTCAATGATTTAATAGTCCCTGGAAATTCTCATAATAGTTCTCGTAAATCTAGTGAAAACGCAAGAGCCGGCGTTCCTGCAATCAGACTCGAACACGTAGGTGATTCTGTAAAGGCTGCTCCCTTTATTGCACGAAGTAATTCGATAACAAATATTGCGGCTACAAAAGATGGCTTTCTAAATAGAAAGATTGAATCCGGAACAAAAGCTTCCTCGTTATCTAGAGGATGGAGGGTATATCGCGTAATATTGAGAGGCTACAAATTGTATTTTTATAAACCGCCATCAGAAGCTGTTCTCAAGACTTTCTTTGAGAACAATAAAGATTTAACGGGAAACGATCTTACTTTGCTATCGCCGGAAATGCAACATGATTGTGGCATGACTTTACAAGCTGCGAACTTTGAATCTGGTGCGAGAGCTTTGATTTTTGAGGGCAAGTTAAATGCTGCAAACAACAACAATAATATTAACAACAATACTAACATCAACAACGGTAATACGAACAATTTCTCTAATATCACCAATAACTCCACTCCGCTAATTAATCATTACTATTATGGAGAAGCTTGTTATGAGGTAGATCGTTCCGCGGCAATGCATTTCAAAAAACACGTTTGCTTGCTTATTTTCGAGGATAGTGTAGTCATTTGCAAACGCAAGTGGGTCAGATATACCAGTGTCAAGGTGTTGGATGCTATGGGTGTATTTAAATCTGGCAATAGTTCTTCTACGAATTTAGTGTCTAGTAATGTTGACGGAAAAGATTGGGATACACGGTCGATAAGCAGTGTTAGAGTTGCAACAGAGACTGATGCTTCGGGAAGTAATAAGAGTAAAGGATATTTTAGTAAATGGAAGCTCGATGCTTGTTATCCCATTCATTGCATCGATGTTGTTCCGGACCCAAACTTTCCTTCTGGTTTCTCTTCCTTCATCACACCTTCTTCACAGCAAAACTATTTCGTACCGAGTAGGCCCAACGATGACGCGTCTTCCATACGTTCCGGTTCATCCGCCGTTTCTGCAGTACAAAATAATTCTTCTACAGGGGTGCTATTATACTTATCAATTGAGGATGGTGATCAGCAGGCTTGCCGCGTGTTTGTGCCATCAAGTGCCGAAGTCAAAGCTGCATGGACAAACAAGTTATTCGCCGCCAAGGAAGCAAGTCTAAGGAAAGAAATGAAAGCAAGATCGTCAAGGGGCGACTCTGCGAACAAGCTTAGACTCAACATGACGGACGCGAATTTACGTCAAGTTAGGCGCGCTGGGGACTCAACAGATAAGTCAATCGGTGGATCGGATGGGACAGGCGTTAAGAAGACTCGAGCTTATTGGAGTCGAGACAAACATCCGGGGTTGATTGTAAAGCAAATACAAGTAGAAGAAGAAGCTATCCGGGAGGATGAAAACACTGTTTCTGCGGATGTTGTTTTCAAAAAGGAATCTATTCATGATATATCAGCCGCAGAATCTAACGAAAGCACTGAACCGAAGCATGCAACCGAAGAGACGCATGAGGTACGTCAATCTGGGACAATAGAAACGGCTGATGCGATATCATCTGTCGGAACGGTCATTAATGAGACAATTGAGGAGAGTATACGTGCAGAGACTCAAACGGAGGAGGAGCAACAAGTTTCTGAGCAAGACGACTCGATTCAACCCATCAAGACAAGTGAGATTATTCCGGAGGACAATGTAGTGCAGGAGGACAATGTAACACCGGAGGAAAGTGCAGCACTGGAGGACAATATAACACCGGAAGAAAGTGCAGCACTGGATGACAATGTAGCACCGGAGGAAAATGCAGCACTGGAGGACAATGTAACACCGGAAGAAAGTGCAGCACTGGATGACAATGTAGCACCGGAGAAAAATGCAGCACTGGAGGAAAATGTAGCGCCGGAGGAAAATGCAGCACTGGAGGAAAATGCAGCGCCGGAGGAAAATGCAGCGCCGGAGGACAATGTAGCGCTGGAGGACAATGTAGCGCTGGAGGACAATGTAGCGCCGGAGGACAATAAAACGCCGGATGACAAAGCAGAGGATCCGTCCGTAGCAAAGGCTGAAACGGAAACATCCGAAAAATTAGAAGTTTCGATCGCTGTAGTCGAATCTCAACCCGCAGACAAATCTTCACGAACATTCGCTACACCAGTGGTTTCGCAGAGGCATATCAGTGGTGGTTCACTCGACTCGCTTATCCATGAACTTGTGTTTCAAACACAAAGGAACGTTAATGATAATGATGACTTGTTGCATGCTTTTCTCCTTACATATACTTTATTCTCAGATGCTTCATACGTATTCCGTGAACTACGTCGTTGTGCTTCAGACATTGTACAAAAATATGCTGATGAAGATAATGGAGACATATTCAAGAAATCTATTCTTTCTAGGCTAATTACTATTTTTAAAACTTGGTGCAATATTTGTGGCGATGATCTAGCAAGAGAAGAAGTTCATAAAGAAATGACGGATGTTGTAGCCGATTTGCTTATTGACAAACATGAAGATGCCGAGGAACTCAGTAAACTAATTGAGAACACACGAGCGAATGCATTTGAAATCAACCGGAGCGGTGATCACGAAGATATTCCTTTACAGATTACTTCACAACCTTCTTTGGATTTCTCGAATTTGAACGTAACAGGTCTAACGCCCGCATTATTCTTAAAAATGTCGCCTGATGAATTAGCACAACAACTTTATATATTCCATTTTCTTGAACTTCGACGTAACGATCCAGGCATGAATCTGAAGAATTTCATTCCATCGAAATATCCACGCCCCTCTTATTTGCAAAGCTCACTTAATTTCACAACATCGGCGCCGCATTTTGTTACGCGTCTAATCTTCCACCATATCCTCATTGTGTCCCAGCAATCTGGTTATACTTCTCGTCGACCAGCCTTAATATCCCATTGGATTAAGATAGGTCAAGCATGTAAACTGCTTGGTGACATGACGGGATGGATGGCAGTGGCGTCTGGTATTTGCTCACCTGGTATAATTCGATTGAAGGAAACTTGGGAGCGGGTGGATGAGCATTGTAAAAACTTGGTAGTTAATGAATGGAGCTCATTATTATCTGAATACGGTGGTCCGGATGGTGAGTGTGACGTCGATGATATCCGAAGTCTGCTGCTTATTGCACAAGATAAAAAAGAGAAAAGCAAGAGCAGACCTATACCTTACTTCGGATTCATCACGATAGCACTAGAAAGAATCAATTCATCAGTTCCCGGGTTCATTGACAATGCTGGTCGTGGAGGAAGAAATGCTGAAAGTGGGATTGTTAATTTCGACAAGTATTGGAAGATGTATGACGTTGTCACCAAATCGCTTGAAGCATGGAATATATACAAAGATACAGATGAATCTGTAAGCGTTTCGTGCCCCTTTGCCTTGATACAACCTCTTCAAAGATATTTCAAACATTTGAACACCATCCAAGTTACCGTGAATACCTGGCAAGTGTTCGAATCTTCGATACAGTGCGAACCTACTCTTCATGGACAATACTTGGAGTATCAAGCGAATGAACGTAAAGTTCATCATTCAGCTTATGTGCCGTTGTTGTTCGTTGAAGTTATTCCTTCAAATCGCTTGTTTGATAGAAAGGCTTTTCTCAGTGCGAGCGGAAATATTGGAAGGAAGTCATCCAGTTCATCAATGAATTCCGTTAGCGAAAACTCGTTCTCTTCTAATCTTCAGACAGGGAGATCAATGAATGGGTCAGCAGGTGATAAAGCATCAGCGATGCAGAGGAGCTTGTTAGTTCCGGGCCCGCATACTAGACGTCGCACGCTTTCGTTCCCGCAAGAAAAGATAAGCCAATTGACTTCGACGACGTGGAACACTAGTTTGGACCTTGTCACCCGTTCATGGCTTGGTAATTTTGTTCAAAATCGCAGTGGCGACAGCGACTTGCTGAAATCAATGAAAGACCTTGCTGGAGTAGACGAAATGCTCATATTTGTTAAAGATGGCGATTTGGTATTCAAGTCTGTAGAAGATACTGCCTCGGTTTCTCGTCCTGCAAGTATTGTTGAATCTCCCCCGCAATCAAATGCTGGAGCTTTATCCAAGCGCAATTCGGTCCAGGGAGCACCGTATTCACCACATGGTAATGCATTTTCAGAATATGAAGCTCACTTGGTGGTCGTAAAAGCTGGAACTCTCGAACGACTGTTAGACGTACTTGTAAATGGTGTAGCCGCTTATAGCACTAGTGTAGTTGATGACAACGGAGAGCCCCCATTGGCAACCGGCAGACAGGGTCAATTGAGTATTGATTCTGAGGAATATACCGCAACGTTTTTTGCCACTTATCGGAGTTTCTGTAAGCCGGACGATCTTTTAGAGGATCTAAGAAGGAGGTTTGTGAATGCAAAGAAATCAGCACGAATTGAGCCCGAGTCGCAATCGTCTGACGTACGAGAAATTGATTGGAAAGCAGTGGCTAAGATTCAGTTGAATGTTTTGAAGTTACTTGAATATTGGATCCAGGAATTTTTCAATGATTTCCTTGATAACCTTGACACTCGAAGCAAAATGATGAACTGTATTGACGAATTTATATCTGAAGCTGAGGATTGGGGACGAGCTGCTGCTGACGAGAACTTGATTAGTTTATCGAAACGAGTCATAGAATCTTCTAAAGACCTAAGGATGAAAGCCACGCGAAAGTGCTTGGAACCGATTTGGAATGCTCAACACGATCGATTGATAGCTGCTGTCGACGCTGTAATAACCGATTCACAAACACATGGTCGAGTATCGAGTGATGGCAATATACAAAAGGATGATGTACAAATTCTGTCCATAAATTCTACAAATGCTGTTGATTTAATAGAGAGTATAGACCTTACTGTTCTTGGACTATTTCAGACAGTTACACGTCTTGACTGGCTACTTACTTATGAACTACTGGAAATGCAATCTTCCGACGTTCTTAGTTGGTACCCAAAAAAGCACGCGTCATACTTGCAGGAAGAAGATATCATAATAACAGACATATTCACAATGTTTGAGGACACAGCTAGCTCCACAGATAGTGACAAGCGCATTGTGGGCTTACTTCCACGGTCAATACAGTCTCTATGTCGATTACATGCGTTCATTAGAAATTGGGTTATTTTGGAGATTACATCAACTAAATTAGATATACAAGCAAGAAGCAAGAAAATCGATTTGTTTTTTGGATATGATTTTACTAAGTAGAAGACGAATGGTTAGGTTAGAGATATATCCAAAGAATGATACTGCTAAACAAGATGACGACACAAGAAGAAGCGTACCATCGTTCGTAGAGAGTGCGATTGTTTCGGGTTTAATTAGTCCGGAAAGTAGGCAGTTTACTAGAGCATGGCTTGATGTAGCGATTAATAGAAATGGAACATTTGAGACATTGGAGGCTTTGCTATATGGACTATCGCCCAAGCCCGCAGAACAGAATTCGTCAGAGGAAGAGATTCCACTAGTTCCATGTGTTGGCTGGTTATTTGAGAGAATGTTGGAAATATGTTGTAACATTCCGAATATGTCTTTTGACTCTGACAGACTCGTCAACTTTGATAAAAGACGATACACACACAACCTCATCCAAATATACATTCAGTCTCAGCGCGAACTGGTCGTTAACATTCACAAAAGAGAAGCCAAGGTGGACGTGCAATATCTTACTAGTAAGACTGTAACATCAGGAATTGGGAAATTTGAACTTCGACATATTAAGGATTTGGCAGCCAAAGAAAATGTCGCCCTACGCATTGCCAATCTTCCACAATGGACGGTCAAGAGTCCCAAACCGTTCTGTAAACTGGTTGCCGAACAGCAGGAAAAGATCAGGCGAGATATAAAGGAGAGAGAACGATTGGCAAAAGAGATTCGCGAAAATCAGCACCGAATAGCTAAGCATTATAACGAAGACACAAGGAAAAAAGACAGACATTTTAAAGATACTTATGTAATGAAACCTGTTAACAGTCTGCTAAAGGCTGTCCGTCCACTTTCGCTAGCTATTTCTAATACCTTATATCCATCTTCACATAACATTAAGCAGTCTTACAACTCTCATCAAAGAAAATCTAATCCCAAAGCCGCCCTTGTAATTAATCTAATTGATTGCCAAACATCGGTTGACTATGGAATAGCTCAGAAAGATTTCGTATTTCGTCTTGTAACTGAGGACGGCGCTCAATATGTCCTTCAGGCAATAAATCAAGAGGAGATGAATGATTGGATGCATGTTATTGGTGAAGCCTCTAATCAAGCACTGAAAAAGAGAATGACTATTCCACTCGAGCCGCCTGTGGACGACGACAAGCTTACTTATGCTGAGCCAAAGACAAGAAATTCAGTGTATGGAAAGGATCTTGCCACGTTAATGAAGAATGGAAGTTTGCCATTAATAGTTGAAAAGTGTTTCACCGAAATTGAGAAAAGAGGTACCTACAAATATTAATACTGTAATTTGACGTATTTAAATCTCAACGACTTAGTCTTACCTTTCTTTTTTCATGTTAGGCCTGGAAGAAATTGGCATTTACCGTGTACCAGGGGCAGCACTATCAGTAGAAAATCTTCGATCAGCTTTTAACACAAGTAAATAACATCTTCATGTAATATATTTACTTCCAGCGTTTTGTTTGATAGTTAACATAAATTTCTTGTTGTTAGATGCCGAGACGGTTGACGTGAGTGTAGAGAAATATGGCGACATCAATGTTGTTGCAGGAGCACTCAAGTCATTTTTCCGTAGTCTGCCTGAACCATTGATGTCTTATGAACTCTATGATGACTTTATCAATGCTACAGGTAAGCTAAGGTTTAATATCCCTTATATTGTATATAAATACAATATAAATAATCTTCTATCGTGTATCGTAGGAATATCCGATTATGATGAACGTCATTTAGCAATTAAAGCACTTCTTCAGCGGCTTCCCGAATGCAACTACATCCTTCTAAAGCGGCTAATTGAGCATCTCGAAAGAGTAACTGACTATTCAGAAATTAATCATATGTATGCCAACAATCTTGCTATAGTCTTTGGCCCGACTCTGCTCAAAGCTCCACCTGGACCATCTAGTTTCGCCCAGTCAATGGGGAATCTTGGAAAGCAGACAACTATAGTCAAAGATCTCATTCTTCAATATCATTGGTTCTTCGATGCCGAAGATGATACCTCTGAAGTGGAATTGTCTGAATTAATAGCTGACCATGACGGCGTTGAGAACGACGAACTGGAGTCAAACCATGATACATCTTCGTACGTTGAAGTTGATAGTGCATCGGCGGATGGGTCACTATTTGCTAATACACGGGAAAGCGAAGAAGGCGATATATTGGGGGAAGACCACGAATCTTGGGATTACGGAAAAAAGATGGAGAATTCTCAAGATAATCGACTGAACGATGGGAGCATAAGTAAATTTGGAAGTTTTAAAATGAGAATTGAGCATATTGGTGACGATAGAGACAAAAACGACGATAGTATGGACGATCAACAGACAGATCAACTGATTGCTGGAAGTGTCGCGAATCGGGGGTCAGTATTAACTGATGTGACCGAAGAGCAAGAAGATGATTTCGAAATGGTGGAATAGTAAACGTATATTGACATAATATACTTGTTCATAGAAAGGCTGGCAAGGAGAGGTTAAAAAAAATAATTAACAAATAATAAACGAAAAGTCAAGGGGGAGTTGAGGTTTAGAAATGCATTGCATGTAGTATTCTAGCTTCTTTTTATATTTCACTTGTTTATATTTTATTTGTTTTATCGTTATTCACTACTGACGGATCAACCGCATACAGATTAAGTTATTTCGACATCACAATATATAATATTTAAATATCACGGTTTCATATGAAATCGTATTGTATCTAGCATTTACAGCAATAAAAAATTCACACTAAACAGTGTTCATTAGCAATTCAATGCAGCAGAGACCCCCCCAAAAAAACACCAAACATGTAAACGCAAAATTTTACTAATGTAATTGTACTTCATGCACTAATTAAACTTTAACATTTATTTTCTCTGCTTAACCAAATGATTGAAGTCAGTCTAACAGTTTAGCCGATTTTGTCTTCTACATTCGATCATTGTAAAGTCGAAATCAACAATGTTAAACCCAAATACGGCGCTAACAAAATGTTTTGAAATATATATCTTCAAAGTTTCATTCAATTCGGATGAGAAATAAATTTAAACGCAATCTCTAATCCCTGTAGGGTATGTTACACACAATACGTAAATGTAAAGCTTTCGTGTTTGTTGTTATCTGTTAATTTTGTTTATTTTACAAGCAAATGGCATCTCGATCAGAACAAACCCTTTTTTCAACGTGGAGAGATAATTGGTGCTTGGAAACGTGGTTTAAGTGAACCAAATATTGCAGCAATTCTAGGAAGCCTTTGATAAAAGGAGTAAATCTAGTAGGATAAATGTTTTATACTGTAAAAAGTTATAGGGTTTTAAAATCCATAAGTTTGAAACAACGTATTAGTACCATATAATTGGTTGAAATTGGTAGATCGAACTAAATATGGTACGGACCATTCGAATTATTAGGCCTGACTGGTACTTTTGTTCTTCACAGTAAGCTCTACAAAGTTACCGTGTAAAAAGTTACGATACGATATTATTGGTCAATTAAAATTGAAATAAATCACGTGTTTGTCGAGTATAGACGTTCTGCACTCTCTCCACGTGACGAAGGCGACAAGCACTACTACAATTTAATAGTAAAATCCGCTATATTTTAACCAGTGAAACTCTGGTTGCATAACAGTAAACCATACTAAACGATCCGTTATATCGACTTTCACTGTGTACTGGTATCGTATCAGGAATAATTGTCTATGAATCTTCTAGTTCATGTATTATTTATTACTAAAAAGTCGAAAGATACAATAACACACATGAAATATTCGCGATCAACATTATACGAACGGACGATTTCCATGTAACCCAGATAAATTATCACTGACAACTCTTAAATATATTAAATATTGAATCTAAGCGTTTGATGTCCGTTCTGACACGTTCTGAGATTTCTTCCACTTCAACATGTAACTTTTGACAACGTGGATCGATCCGTCCAAACTTACATGACTGGCTAAATCGGGTACACCTTCTTCATTCCTTCCGGAACTATTAGATGCATCGCTTATTACCTTTTTACCCTCTTCTAACAGTTGCCGGGCACGCGCAGTGTTTTCACCCCACTCTTTCATACGCTTACTCGTTTGCTCTTTAACTTCTTCTAAAGTGTTGCCAAGAAGATTGGGACCGTCTCTTAATGTAAGATGACAATATTCGAGCTTGGACTTTTGAAAGACAAACAGCGCGTGTATTTGCAGGCTATGATTGTAATGGATAATATTATGTTTTATAAACACTTTCCTCAATATTCTCAGTGCAAATAAATGGATAAGCATGTGTATATTTACCAAATCCCTTTTAGCTTTTCTTGCTTCAACTTTGAACACATAGAAATACTATATTTTATGACTTTTTCACACTTATCAAGTTCCGCCGCCGACAACATTAAATCAAGATGCTTTTCCACAAGGGATAAAGTTTCCAAATATGTTATCATTGCATGTATCCAATGCCACAGCCCTTTAAGCTTGTTAGGAGCAGCTTTGGCTTCACGAACATGATTTGCAGCTGTTCCTTCCAACGATTTCATACGCTCTTTCGAATCTACACGCTGAGTCTTATTATCCAATGTTCGAGTATTAGAGTTCGGTGTCCTATTGGAGTTATTTACTGAAGGTGGCTGACTTTCGCCAATTAAACCATTTGAAGTAGCGGCTCTAGCGTTTGGTGTTGATTGTGTCTGCGGGGCTTGCGGCGTCTGGGGATTGACTGCATTTCGCTTTTTGTACTCTTCAAGCGACAATTTAGATTTTGTTGCATTATTTGCATTGGACGCACTTCCAGTAACACTGACATTACTACTATCGTTTTTAATAGCTTTCGCGTTAGCGTTGTAACTAGAGCTAGCAGTGCCATTAGTGTTGCCATGAACTTTACCGCCTGCATCATCGCTAACATTATCTTTGATGTTAACATTCTTGTCTTCATCATCAATGTTCTTGTCTTTATTGGGGTTATTTTTGTTGCTGTTACTACTCTTATTAGGCTCCACTGAAATGATGTCGGCTTTCCCCTTATTCGCTTTTGAAACTGCACTTACTGCCTTCACCCTCTTTGATTCACGATTTCCTTCCCGCAAATCTGATGTATCTCGAGTTCTCTTAAGCGGGACAGTGAGTTTTATAATAAATGACTTTTGATCATCCGGGAAGATAAACGTCGTTTTGTTAGACAAAGATGTCTTATCCGACGATGTTATTGGCTTCGCATTGCTAACTACCGTTTTCACAATCTTCTCAATTTCCTGCTGTTTTCTCTTAGGACTTTTTAATAATTTGCAGAGCTGTCCAAATTTCTATACGATGCGGGTAAATGAACTTTATGGTAAATTCGTACGTCTTCAGAGCTAGGCAGAGAACAAATAATGCAGCTTACCCAAAGAAGTTCTTGCCTAAAATCTATCGAAGATCTGCGTGTTACTCTCTTCGAGCTGTGTATTGATGAATAGCGTAATTAATAGTCATTTCTCGTTTCAGTAAAAAATGTTAATTTATCCACTTGTAATCACTCACGCGTTCTTTGCTGCCGTAACTCGCGCCTCTTGCACGACTTTAACCGCCTCCTTAGACGAAGAAACGTCTTGTTTGTCCTTCATCAAACTATCTTCCGTTTCAGCCTTAATTTTTGGTGAGGTGATTAGATAGGGTTGATACCTTCCAGTCGTTTTTGACGGGACAGGCCGCGTTACGGATGCCTGGCGTTGTTGATGTGATTGTTGATGGATTTGTTGTGGCTGACGCTTCAGTGACAAATTTTGTTGTTGACGTAGTGATTGTGGTGGCGAAGATTGTTGTAATTGGTGTTGTGGCTGTTGTGTTTGTGATTGTTGTGGTTGTGGTTGTGGTGGCTGCTGTGTTTGTGTTTGTGATTGTTGTGGTTGTGGTTGTGATGGTTGTGATGGTTGTGATGGTTGTGATGGTTGTGATGGTTGTGATGGTTGTGTCTGTTGTGGTTTTTGCAGTTTTTGTGACGGTTGTGTCTGTTGTGGTTTTTGAAGTTTTTGTAACTGCTGCTGTTTCTGTGACTGTTGTTGAGCCTGCAGCTGTAGCTGCTTCTGTTGTTGATAATGGAGTTGTTTTTGTCGTTGATGATGTCTATAAGCCGACCGGGGAGGGATGTCCTCAGGACGTAATTCGCTCGCGGCCGGAGAAGTAATGAGAATCGATTCACGGTCAGTGTGTGGAACAGGGACAACCGGCTCGGCGAGATAAGATCCCCACTCGTCGTATGCTCCCCAAAACTCGCTCCCATCGTGCGTCAGTTGCATAAAACTACGCACATAACCCGCTGGTCCATCAGGACGCACCCTAAAGTGATAGGTTATATAGCAGAGGAAACGATAAGCAAGGAAACGCATGAAGAAAACAATTAAGAGTATAATAATTTATATGTTACAACTAGGTAGATATATCAGTTCGTGTGTAGTTGGAGATATAGATGAAATATGCTGTTTGTCATAAGTCCTTTTATAGAAATAATTTCTATCTAATAAATGAAATATTGCTTTGTAGGCTGGCGAATATACTTTGTCTGTAGATGCTTCCTTATTAAATCTATTCGTTACGACTATACTTCGGTGGTATTTAGTCACTCGTTATCCTGGAATGCCAACTACTTAATAGTTTGTGACATACCACTCTTCTATGTAAGGGGATCGCTGTCTTGTTTTACCGGTACGATCGGTAACTCTTGCTATGCTGATATACTCATATTTCAACGACATACCTCTGTATAGCACCAATTACAGGTGCAATTCGTTCACTGAAGGAACGCAGAAAATCCGCTTCTTGACGAAGATTTGGTCTTGTACGAGATCTTGTAGTGGAAGCCATGTTGGGGGGGGGGAGTCTATAAGCGAAAGTGAGTCTTCGAACTAGGCCTGTATACGTTTTATGAATTTTCACGTGACCTGAGCATAGAACGTGAATGCCAAGGGACAATCATTTCATAAACAATGCATTATTTCTTTTACAGTTGTTGGGACACGTTCTACATTAGAAATATAATAACTAAAGCTAGCATTACGAGAAATATTATTGAGCACAGTTTTTGATCTGTAATTGTGAAAAAGCTTTCAGTCTGTAATATTCACTGATTTGGATATGGAAATAAAGCGTACGCTTCTATTTATAAACACAGTATCCTCACGTCTTTGAAACTAACTGGTGATGGAAAAGGTGGTACTCACTATTTGCTGGGTTAATAACTCGTGCTGTACTTAGAATTACCAGCGTGAAACTCTGTTTTACGATTAGAGTAAGCGACCTTGTCAAGTTTGTTCCGTACTCGAAAAAAGGGGCTAAGATTATGTGTGAACATTTTTTCAAACTACTTGCTTCGAAGCGGGTATGTAGTATGTCTTATTTCCTTCTAAGCTTCAGTACAACGTCCCTTTTCCTTACAAAGGTTGCATTAATTTAAGGTTTTGTTAATATTCACAAAGCTTAAATTGATACGCGATGAATTATAGATGCTGAACAATGTCAATAACATTGGCTTGCCTCGTTGAGAACACATGACGATACACATGATTATCTTTATAATGGACTATTCGACTTAGAGCATCCGTTATTATTATAGTTCCTTTGGTCACGTTACACGATACATGTTTTATATTCACATTTTGTTTGATACAATGAGAAATAATAAAAATGGTCTAATTAGAGTATCTCAGAAGAGACAGAATGTCAGTCTAGAATAGAAGTAGCAGAAAATTGTGTTGCTTTGACTGGGGCAAAGTTATATAATAAGACAAGGGCTTTCGCTGTAATCAGGATTTTGAAATGATATTCCTTATTATTATAATAATAGTGTAACTATTACTAACCACGATTTCTTAATATAGAAACCTATTGCTATTGATTTTTAGTTACGTTTGGTAACACGGCTAAGTTCTCCATTTGCTATGAACATAATAACTATTCCTGTGTTAGGTCATTTAATGAGGAAACACCAGACAAGAGGGTTGGCAAGTTGTCTTGAAAACGTATGGAATGTAAAGAAAACACCACACACAATTGACCGTTTATCATTCCTGTGATTAAATAAAAGTCTTAGTTGTTATTAATAGTTGGGAGGGATAAAGAAAGCAATGGAAGCAACATTTATCAGCCTTAGCAAAAATAGAATTTGTACTCAAGCCCAAGTTGAAAACGTACTTTGTGTCGATGATCGGATTATTAAGAGATGCCGGAACAAGAAACGAAGATAATTACGAGACTTGGCGCTATTACTGTGGTTTGTTAAAATTGGAATCTTGAAAATCTTACCCTCCTCATCTGCTGTTTTTGGATCACAAACAATGATACATAGTCATGCAAGAGAGTTTCTGTCGAAAGTCTTTCCCGAACAAGAAGCAAGGGAAAAGCGAAATAATGTGTTCGTGACATTGACATATGCACAGAGTTTAGATGGAAAGATAGCTGGAGAAGGTGGTGAACAAATTTTACTAAGCGGGGAAGAAAGCATGACTATGACTCACAGGTAGAGTAAAGGTTGAAAGGAATATAAATTCGTAAAGAATAATAAAGTGTTGTGTGTCATATAGAATGCGTACAAAACACGATGGAATACTTGTAGGAATTGGGACTGTGTTAAGCGATGATCCGAAGTTAACAGGTGTATTATTATTTATAAGCGTCTGGTTTGCAACATTTGAACAATTCCAGCCCCATGCTCATGGTTCGAATTTTCTTTTTCTTACCAGCACGCAGGCTTGAATCAGGAGAAGAATCAACTATATCACAACCACGCCCAATCATTCTTGATCCAAAACTCAAGTTTCCTCTAAATGCCAAACTGCTAAATAAAGATGAATCCAACGGCCATCGTAAGATGCCGTGGATATTTACACAGCATAAGCATGACATGAAGAAAAAACTGGTAGCCTTTTTTGTCTATGTAGCATCCGTATTGTAATATGTATGTATGATACAATACATTTTTACCAAACTCTTAATGTAAACAATTTTAGCTACTAGAGCAAGCAGGAGCAAAGGTTCTAACTATAGATTCTGATGAGAACGGTAAGTTTACTTCCCTTTGCCTCTCAATGGTTTCCCTGTTTCAAATTCGTTAAAACTATGGGTTCAACTCTAGGCAATCTCTCTTTAAGCCAGTTGTTAGCTGTGCTTTACCGACCACCACTGTCAATATCACGGTTAATGGTGGAGGGAGGAGCAAAAATCATTCAGTCATTTTTCAAAAGTGGTCTGGTAGATTTGTTGGTTGTAACAATTGCACCCGTATACGTTGTTCGTGGGATATCTGTGGTCGATGAAGAGAATCAAGGACAAGGAACAGTTGATTCGCCGAGTAAGGTAGGCATTCTCAAACTCTGTTATAGCCCATTAGTCATTGTCAAATGAGCGGAAGATAGATTTGTTAACAAGCCATTTGATTATTTTATTAACGTACAGGGTATAAAGTTTATACAACGTGAAGTGCATTATGAACAGTTTGGAAGAGACGTTGTTATGGCTGTTGTATTGACAAAGGATTGATCAAGAAATGCAAGGATTTGTTATTAATTGTATATGGGTTTAGAAATAAAATTACATAATAAATTCTAGTATATATGTATAGTCCTGTAAGAGAATATAATTGATGGGATTTAGTTCCATTACAAAGTCCATGATGATCGAATATAAGAGACGAGAACCGGTGGAATCTCTATTTAGACTTTGTCAAGGACATAATTTCCACCCAAAGCTCACCAAACATTGGATAGTCCTCCGGATTACACAGAATCTCCTTGAATCCTTTCGTATCCTTCACTTTTGAGAAATTTGCGACTACATAGTCGAGAATGTCATCTTTCAAATCTTTCCATTGTGCTGCTGTACCAAACAGTATCATCGCGCAATTGTCCACGTCTAAATTATCCCATATTTCGATCTTGGCTCTATTGCGGAGTTCGTATATGAAGTATTTATCGGCGATGGCGTAAACTTCAATCGGCGTGCAATGGAGGTCAGGATCTTCCTCAAATTGAACTTGGTCAGTGTACTTGTTAAGATTAAAATAATAGCATTAGTATCTATTAAGCGTACTTTATCTGACAGCCTTTCATAACACTCGGAATTTACTTACCAAAAATCTCAACATCTCTAAAAAAGTCAGGTGATGAAAGTCATTGATATCTACAAGATATTTGTATTTACTCGATCTCCCTTGGAAACTCCTCACGCTATCCACACTCTCCCTCTTGTTTTGATTCTTTTCGGATGCCCACTCCCCCTCAAACATATATTTCAAGTAACGACATCTCTGTGACAATATTGCAGAGTTGGCATATACAAAATGACCGGAAAGATTAAACCTCACATCTGCAGTGGCTGGATTATCTACTTGTTCACCCCACGCTTCGATCAAGTCGTTAGGGATACTGGGACCGGGTAGAGCATTGTGTCGAGAATTTGATGACAACTCAGAGTGATCGAATTCGACACCGATTATTACTTGATCAGAGGATGGAAGAGAGGACATTGGGCAAAAGGTAAAATGACCTTTTGAAATAAGAAATAAATAATGAGTTTATAATATTGTTGGACGCGACGATGAGGGCACAACAACGAAATGCGCAAATTCTGATTCCTATGTTTTCTGATATCGTTCAAAGGTTATGCTCACCCCAGCTCGGTTCCTTTAAATTAAATTCATGTTCAATGGGTTTCTTTTCGATAATCTCGTTGGTATCTGGATCTTTCAAATAAATATATGCTTTATAAGTCTTTCTCTTGGGCCATATTAAACTCCTACTTTCTTGATCGTTTGGAATCGCCGTCAGAAAAAAACAACAGTAGTCTGGATCATGTTCAAATGACTATTTGTAATCAGATAACGATATGATTAGTCATAAATAACAATGTTTATCAATAGTAATAAATTACTCATACCGCGATAAATTCCAACTCCCAGAACGTGTCTGGAGTAGTAGCTATTGGAGGAGAATACACAGCAGCAGACAGTTTAGATACTTGACGAATCAGATATTCGGAAGCACATTTCCCAGCCAGAACCGTTATATCAGATACGTTTGAACTGTATCTGCCTATGCCCGTAGGTGGTTTTATATCTGACATGTGTGTCAAATAACTGCTGGTAGAGCTATCTATTTATCTAATGAAAAACACGTTCTGTTTAATTTTACTATTGTCGTTATCGTTATCAAAATTTAAGACTATTTATGGCATAGTCTACTACACCTTTCATATATCAACAATTACGGTACATGTGATACGACGATCAATCAACTTTGAAACGAAGGCAAAAGACGAATCAATGTCCCGAATATTAAGACTTGCTCTACTTATAGCTGATACGCCAGCACCATCTATAGTTTCTAAAGAGGGAGACTATCTGGTTCAGTATACCAGACTCTTACAATCTTCTATTCAAAATTATGGATTAGATGTAAGCTTAAAAATAGACCCATATGACGTTGTCAATGAAATGGCACTTCCGACAGAGGAGGGATTAAAAGATATTGACGGAATCATGATTACCGGATCAGGTGGAGTTGTGACTTACAGTATTAAAATTTAAAAAAAAACATATTGAATATGTATATTTGTTTATCCAGCTGCTAGTGCATACGGCGACGTGCCTTGGATAAACAATTTAGCTGACTTTATGAAGCATGTCATAAATAATCATCCGAGGGTGAGGGTTGTTGGCATTTGCTTTGGACATCAAATCGTTGCAAGAGCAATGGGAGGAACTGTAACGAAAAATCCGCTCGGTATGGAGGTAAAAAGTCAAGCCTGTGTAATTAATTTAAAGATGTGTAATGTAGCCCACGTCAATTTATCGAGAAATTGCAATACATTACGTAGGTCGCAGTCACTGAATTTGCATTAACAGAAGCTGCAAAACAATTTTTCAAGACAAATCGAAACGGCATTGTGAGTAGTATCATTTAATAACTATCGCGAAGAAACTGTATAATTTAAACTGGGATGGAAAATTGACATGTGGTTTTTCTGATTCTCTTCTTTTGTCCGTGAGAAAATACAAGAAATGCATCAAGATTACGTTTCCGAAATTCCTCCGAATTTTGTTAACCTTGGCTCGACGCCAATGTGTGCAATCCAAGGCCTTCTAAAGCCATCACACGTCCTTACCATACAAGGACACCCTGAATTTACTGCTGCGGTTGTCAAGGGAATTTTAACATCACGTGTAGGTGTGTTTTCTCCAGAAGAAGTTGAGAAATATTCGGCTCGTGCTGAGCTCGAACATGATGGGATATGGCTAGGGTAAGTCTTCCCAGTTTTCGAATTTTTTTGGATGTAGTTCAATTCGGTAACTATATGGCTGTTATTGCAATATGTAGAAAAACATTTATTGAGTTCATATTGGATGGAGAAGTAAAAGCCGATGACGAAAACGAGAACGCAACAAGTCATGTGTAATGGTATCCGACTGCAAATTTTGTTTGTATATATTAAGAATTGTTACTTGATAATCTCATTCATCCTCTGTTACAAATGTGCTATGTAATACAACTGCTCAACTTGTGTAAAATTCTTTATCCATTTCATTCCAGACTTCATGGATGATAAATTCTGTCAAGTTAAAACCCTTTCCATCTTCAGCCTTGTAGATTTGTTGGAACTTACTATACGAGTTTGATAAATGATAATCAAAACCAATAACACACGTCTCAAAATTGGAATTTCTGTTTAGTAAACGTAACAAAGATTTATTAGTATGACTGTTCATGATAATAAATTATCAATAATATTTTACTAACCCAGTGATCTTAATGCGGATAGAATGTCCATGTCTTCGCGTACTGAATGCGAGTATCTCCAAATCATTGTTTTGTGTATATTCAATGTCATAGGCTACTCTATCTATAGTCAGGATATCTGTTATAGAATGTCATCCCTGTCAATTAGTCATCACATATTAATATTTGGCTCATTAACGTTTTGTTGTTGTTACCTTGTATCGACTGGGCCGCATTCCCTTTTTGAACATCCTGGCATTTTGTTAATTTCGAATACCACTGCAAGACCAGAGACCGTTGACCGTTTTTCTGATATGCATGTTCAACCACGACTATGAAAATTTTAATAACACTAACTGTTGAGACAAATCGATAACGTTCTCTCATTTAACTCACATGGAAGTTCGAGCATCATACAGCTCATGCGCGTTAAATCGTCGTTAGCCGACTTTTTCTGGTCACCATCTTTCGTTTTGATGATATGACTTTTCAACAAATCATTTACAAAAGAAGAATCTTCACCATTAGCATTTTTTATGCAAGTCAATAGATCATATTGTTGGGAAGTTTGCGTCATGTACAAATATTTCTACAAAGGCATTGGTCTGGACAGATTACTTTTTCCGTTATTCTGGCGTCGTAAAACGAAGCGAATTTTACACGTACATTATGATAGTCCTTTTCTAGCTCATCCAATGATCTAGTAGCATTTGCACTGTTTTGCGTGAGTGAGCCTGATGATAACTTGTTAGCGGTAAAATATTAGCTGCCACTCTCCATTTGCAATATTATCACAGTTAATCCACCATACTTGTGACATGGATTTTAATTTCTGTTTGATTTCTTTTCTTATTTCCAGCACATCATTTTGGGCTTTTTGAAATTCTGACCAAATTTCGTCCATAATAATAATAGTGAATGAGAACGTGTTGTCTAATTACCAATTCTATCTTATTATTAGGTTACGCTAACATCTATCGGTATATTCCCACCAGAATTATAACGCAAAATCTTCCCACGCACGAGGCATTAGGAAAAGTCTGGTAAACTTTTTATTAATTCCTCCTGACCATTCTTGTTAATGCAAACGATATAAAAAGTATCTTTGTAATTTATCGAGATAATTATTTTTTATGTCTATCGATATACACGTTCTGATCCTAACTAGGAGATTTACGGATGTACGGAGTAAAGACACAAAAGGTTATGTAGGAAACGTTCCGAATGATGCTAAAAGAAGAACCGTCTATTATTCTATCCTCAGATCGAATCTGCAGAAAGCAACGAATTTTGTTGTCCTTGGTGATATTACGGTTGACTGGCGACTTCTTTCGTTTTAATACAAGACGCTGTACGATTGTAGGATATCTCATTTGTTGCTTGCTTATATTTACGACTTGTTAGGCATAGTATACGTCTTTTTTTTTTTTATAATTTAGAACTTTAGTGTTATTATTATATATTACTAAAGCTCGTTTTAACCGACAATAAAGAGCTGGCTAAATTTAAAATATGTGAATTGTATTATGAATTATGCTACAAATGCGAAAGTAAGAAATAAGTGTATATGAATGTATTTAATAGATGTTATTTGTAGTATCGGTTTGGAGAATTACAAAAACATAGAGTTAGTTGAAGGATAAGAGGAATATAAGGAGGGAGGTAAAGGAAAATGAGAACAGGGACACATAATTGATTGAAGCTTCTTAAAACTTTCCATTTCCCCGGTTACGGTGCAGTGTATATACGGAAGCCAAAAATATCGGCTCATCTACTTCTATCTTCTACCGTTACTGAATGGATCGAGGTTCGCACAAATTTGTCTCTTTATCAAGATATCTGAAAACTAAATAGCTATTGGATTTGGGTTTAGTTTCTCTGGCATCGAGTGATATATAGAAGTTGATCTCACTATTTATTCATTATATAGATTCTTTCTAGATGCAAAAAGAAACTTAACTGACACAATCATTACATCGTATGTTTGATTTTCTTCTTGCCATTCATCTTTTTACTTGCCGTTACCTTCTGCTCTCCGTTTTCAGTTGACCTTTGTATCACTACTTCCTTCGACTTTTCCTTCATTTTCCCCTTATCTTTTCCCTTACCCTTCGCTTTTCCTTTAACCGTTTTCTTTACTGTTGTTTCCACTTTCTTCTTGACCTTTGTCGCCGCTTCTTTGTTGTTGTTATTGTTGTTGTTGTCATCATCATCATCATCATCGTCGTCGTCGTCGTCGTCATCGTCGTCATCGTCGTCATCGTCGTCGTCGTCATCATCATCGTCATCGTCGTCGTCGTCGTCGTCGTCGTCCCCATCATCATCGTCATCTTCATCGTCATCTTCATCCATATCTTCCTCATTCTCTGGATGTCGCCTTTTTCTATTAGACTCATTCGCAACACCAGTATACGTCTCTTCATTTGGTAGTGAATTATATATTGGTAAACTTATTGACTCATTTGTCTTAATATATAATGCTCGCACATTGTGCCATCCTCCTGGTATCTTTGCTACAATACTTGGGACTGCTATTTCCAAGTTGTCAGTTACTTGTTCTGGTATCATTTCTGTTGTTGCTACTTTCACGGCGCTAATATGTCATTGGAACAATTAGCGAGTTGCAGAAAAGGGTTGACACAAAAAATATTGCTCAAATAAGAGACGTACAAACATGTCCCTGGGCTTATATGCATGTAAGTAGACGTACACGCTTTGTCAATTTCTGCTTTAAGATCCTTCACTCCCATCCTCACAGAAATCGGCTGCCTGCACAACAGTGAAATAATTATTAAATATATTTCAAAGTGAATCGTAACAACGACAAAAAACTTTGTTACTTGCTTCTTCCGCTTGAAGAAATATTTCCCTAACAGTTTTGGAAGAGATACTATGATTTTATCATCAGCTAAGAACAATTCATAGTTATCACATAGTTTTCGTTTCGCTTCGGGCGAAACAAATTTTTTACGCAATTTTTTTAGTCCAATAACCTATTACCGTTCGATATCAAAAGAATTACGAAAACGCAAAGTGGAAATCAAACCGATTAGATCATCTATTTTACCTTATCTATCGTTATAACTTCCTTTTCCTTAAGCAACTTTTTGTATTGAGATTGGGGATCTTTTGTAAACAAACAAATTTCAGCGTCAGCGTCATAGATCGGATGTTTCAAAGGTCTGCAAGAGAGAAAGTCTTGTTATTATCCGAAAAACCTGGCATTATTCACAATTCACAATTCACATAATTTAGATAGAAACACAATACATTCTGGCGGGTCTCGCTATCGTATCCTCTGAAAACGTATGTGTCGCAATTATGAGCCATACGTATTTTCGATCAACGAGCAATTGATTATCTTGTTCCTGCGCTTTATGCACATAGTCTAACAGTGCAATTGCAGCTTTTTTTGCCTGTTGTATTAACTCGAGTTATTGACGGGACATTATCATACGATGCTTTTGTACTAGTAGGCTATTTCAAACCTGCTCCAAGTCTACGTCAATGTCCATAACGGCGAGGCTTATTGTAATATCAGAAAACTATTATAATTAGCATTTATATAAATCACCTGCTGCTTATTTTACCAACTACCCCAAGAAATTGGTTACAGTAACGTGACCTCTTGTACGACGTCTTCAGCCAGTCATCAGCTTTGGAATATTGTGTCGCAAACAGATTCTTTATTGAGAACTGAGCTGCATTTACATTTCCCAATAAGGATGTTGGTGTTGTTCACATGATTAAATATTACACCCCATTCCGAAAAGGCCCCCATTTCGTTTTAATCTTTAGAGTCAGCACTCACCATTTATGCTCAATAACCTTCTTTATTGAGTCTGCTAAGAGAAAATTCTCTGAATTCTGTCGGTGAGCTTGACTGCTCTAAGTTGAGGCAAACTGTGCCTATTTATAACTTTTGGTGTCGCTTCAGATGCT